AAACCTTCCCTCGTGTTTCAAGATATGACAAGAATCCTGCACATTACATTAAAGACTACATGCCATGAGACTTTGGAAATGCTATTTAAGGAGTATAATAAATGGGTCTAATTTCAAGGGGAAAGTCTCTAAGTAAAAGTAGTGAAATTCAAGTGGTCTTTCTTTTTTCTCCATTTTGCGACACTGGTATACTGTTTGTGATTTAAATCAAATTAAAATTTTTTTCAATTTAAAACCAAATCAGTTTTCAAGCCATCAACTACAATATCCGTGGTGGGAGGGTGGGGAAGCATGCTTAAACTGCTGAGGCAGAAGCTGGGGCCAGTGGGTGGTGTAGAGGAGAGAGGGTATATATTCATTGGTTAAGTTTTATCTATTCTTTCCATGAAACAGCTACCTATTTGCAAATTTCTAACAGAAAGAAAGGTGACTGTGTTATTCCATTTTCTGGGATGTGAGACCCTTACATTTTAGCTGTTTGTTCTTAGTGTATATAGCAAGTTGACTCCTGGGGTCTGTCCACAACCATCACATTCAACTCTGCAAATCATCAGCTAATCATTGCTTATGGATCTCAGATGCTTTCATAGACATGCTTCACTTCTATCCTGACATATGTTATTTTCTGAGAAACCTGATTTGGGATTGATTTGGAGTATTCTATGATTGGGGAGAGAGTGCCGAACTATATAGACATGAGATTAAGTGGTAAAAATAATGTTTTGGGATGATGAAATATTCTGGAATTATAGTGGTAATGATGGTTGCACAACCTGTGAATATACAAAAAAACCACTGATCTACACACTTTAAAAGGGTGGATTTTATGGTAAGTGAATTATAAACGAATACTTTCGTTTATAACAATCCGTTATTTAGATAGAAACATCATCAAACAGAAATATAAGTGTATACATAAAGAAAACCATTTGAATCAAGCAGCCTAGAGAACGCAGAATAAGAGATGTGTTACATGAGAAGCCAGATATGTGTAACGATAAGTGAAGGGTATATTAGGGTCACTTAATGAAGATGTCTCTGTATCTAAAGTAGACAATATCTGGGTTTTCATTTATATCCAAAGGAAACAATGTATAACCCTCATCAGTCTAATCATTTTACTCTAAAAGTGGCATAGTAAAATATTTTAACCTGTTCAAGAGTTTAGTTATAGTAATCATTGGCTTGAAAATAGGACATATTCGTAAAAATGGATAAGAAACACTTAGAGTTTAGCATATAAGCTAATAAAAATGAATACCATAAGGAAATTCAGAATTAAAGAGACTGGGTAAGAGGAAACATCTTTCATTTGCTTACTGTTGTGATTCTGTTTTTCAGAAAAGGCTCTCTGAAGTTCACATTTTGCAAAATCATTCAGTATTGGAGTTCCAATCATGCAAAATAATGGCTATTTTAAACAAGCACTTTAAGCCTAAACTAAACATCAATGGAGCAAATTACATACAGGACACACATTTTAAAGCTACACTTAAAATTCAAGACTCTAGTTACCAACTTATTTTGGGACAGAATGAATTTAGAGGGTCATGGAGTCAAAAGATAGCAAATTTCAGATGGCCAGTTATTGCACCCCCAGCAGGTGGCCTGAGGGTAGTTACAATACTGTTTTCAGCTGAGCACAAATATATCATCACTCCTGGAAGAAGGGTTAGGGATTATATCAGGCCTTAGTAACTATTTTATTGAATAAATGTGTTGTAAGACAGAGAGAAAATTCTTATTCCCCCAGCATGTGTAGGATCAGACCAGGTCAAGATTGGTCCACTCCCCCTCAGTTATTTCTTCATTTCTTTGCTTCCATTAATAAGAAAATCTTCTCTCCTCCCCCTTTTTCTTGAACTAGGCACACCTTTCAGTCCCATCACTTCACCAAAACTACTCTTTTCAGTTACCAGTGATTTTCATGTTGCTAAATTTAATGGACATTTATTTCCCAGTCTTCATTTTCCCTGACCTATCAGCAGCATCTGATATAATTGCTCACTTCCTCCTCCTTGAAATGCTCTCCACTTGGCTTCTAGGAAGTATTACTACATATGGCTTTTCCTCCTACCTCACTGGCCAATCCTATCCAGTCTCCTTGGCTTCTTCTTGACCCCCTTCTTGACCTCTTCATGTAGTAGCACCTGGCACTCAGTCCTCAGACCTCTCTTCCATTCACACTTTCCTCTAATTACATTTTAGTGATTTCATCTAGTCTCATCACATTAAATACTGCTGACGACTTCCAAATGTATATCTGGAGACTGGACCTCTCTCCTGACCTCCAAACTCATTTATTGAAGTGCCTATTTGGTATCGCCACTTACCGTATTTGCCGGCNTGATATACTGTCTAGGAGGAAAGACAGATGACAAGTAAGTACCCTTGTGGTTTATAGCCAAATTATTTTTTATTGCAAAGGTTCCTTCCTCTTTGAATTTGAATCTACATATTGAAATGGGACTTGGTTCCCATCTGTAATTCTTCGGAAATAAAATTTTAAACAAAATTTTGAAAAATTACTGAAGTATATTACAAGTGATTTCTGAAGGGAAACTAGACAATTTAAAAGTTGCTAAAGTAATTCTGTAGATTGCAGATGCCCAGCATACAGCTAGTAACAAACATAATACCTCCAACATAAGCATTCTTACAGAAGAAAAACAGCATTTAGGAGCATAAGCAAGTATTTCATTTCACTAATTTATAATTATATTTTACTACATTAAAACCAATGGGCTTTTTTATTCATTTAGCCATAAGTAAATAAAAATCAAGTGCATCTCTCTAATGTAGTATTTAAAATATTACTACTAACAGTGCATTAAAAATATGGATTTGTACTTTACATTCATACGAGAGAATTTAGATAGGTGAGTTTGAAACTGAAAAACATGGTGATTGAAAATAGGGCAATTATTTCCTCAGCAATGTTTCACTTATTTACTCCTGGACACAGGCGGTATTCAAAATATTTAACAACAGGTCACAAACAGGCATTGATTGAACAGAACAGATATACCCTGATATACCCACTAGCACCCAGTCTCTTGGGGGAAAAACAGGATGAAATTTCATATGTAAACCTAACTTGATTTCTAGGCACTTCTCAAGGGATAGGTTATTAGCAAAGAGATCTGGGAAATCAAAGGGAGAAGAGAATTCAGAGAACTGTAGAAGACAGTCGGTTAAGCTAGTAGCCTGTCTGATAAAATGAAATTTTTCAGATTAAATAGTGAGACTAATTTTCTGCCCCTGAAAACTCTAATTTGGCTTGTCATCATATATGTCCAATCCTGAAAAAGAGCCAGAATTAAGAATTGTAAGAGCAAAACAGAAAAGTAAAATATGAAAATATGCTAGAAATACAGAACTCTATATTCTGGAGTTAGTAACTAATGACAATTAATTATTATTCAATTAAAATGACAACTATAGCACAAAGAAAGTGAATTTAACAAGCAATGAGTTTTTATACAATCTTTTTACATTCAAAGGTAACATTCTGAAATTTTGATATCCTCCTTAATCCCAGCTATTAAATCCCAGAAAATGAATATTTAAAGGAAAGTTATATTATAAACCCATTCTATGCAAAATCTTATTTTGGATGATCTAAATTTCTGTTCAAGATTAAATGTCAAACCCACTACAGATGAAATAAAAGTTCTGTAGCTCAAAAAAATCTTATTTGGGAGCATTTTTTCTGAGTAAATGGAATGGAAAATCTATTAAGCAGCGTCTGACTTTGGAAACAGTGACCCTGCCAAATGATTAAAATTGTTTCCTTGAAGTAGTATTAGTAACTAGGAAATTGATATGTCAGTAAGAGGCATACAGGTCTTGTCAGTAAGAATATATTAATCTTGAGAATATGATTAACCAAGACAACATTGCTTGGCAAATGCCAAAGTCAAGAACTTTGAAATGAGTCATTATCTAAAAGTGAGCACTGAATTGCACTAGTTATTACCACTGAATTTGAAGAACATGCTCTTATCAAGAAGTTTTAAAGTCACCAAAAAAACCCCACAAACAATCCAATTTTAAAAATGGATAGAGGACCTCAATAGACATTTCTCCAAAGGGGATATACAGATGGACAACAGACATATGAAACGATGCTGAATGATACTAATCATCAAAGAAATGCAACTAAAAACCACAATGAGATACCACCTCACCCCTGTCAGAATGGCTATCATGAATAAATCAACAAACAACATGTGTTGGCGAGGATGTGGAGAAAAGGGAACCCTTGTGCACTGTTGGTGGGGCTACAAATTGGCGCAGCCACTATGGAAAACAGTATGGAGGTACCTCAGAAAATTAAAAATAGAGCTACTTTATGACCCAGCAGTTCCACTTCTGGGTATTTATCTGAAGAAATCCCAAACACTAATTTGAAAAGATATAAGCATCCCATGTTCACGGCAACACTATTTACAATAGCCAAGATATAGAAGTAACCTAAGTGCCAGTCAATAGATGAATGGATAAAGAAGAAGTGGTACATATACATAATGGAATATTACTCAGCCATAAAAAAGAATGAAATTCTACCATTTGCAACAACATGAATGGACCTAGAGGATATTATGCTAAGTGAAATAAGTCAGAGTGAGAAAGACAAATGCTATATGATCTCACTTATATGTGGAAATCTAAAGAACAGAATAAACAAACAAAACAGAAATAGACTCATAATTACAGAGAACAAATTGATAGTTGCCAGAAGGGAGGAAGGTTAGGGAGCTGGGTGAAAAAGGTGAAGGGATTAAGAAACACAAATTTGTAGTTACAAAATAGTCACAGGTATGTAAAGTACAGCATAGAGAATATAGTCAATAATGTTGCAACAATTATGTATGGTGCCAGGTGGATACTAATCAGGGAGATCACTGCATAAATTATATAAATATCTAACCACTATGTTGTATACCTGAAACTAATATCAAATAATATTGAATGTCAAATAAATAATTTTAAAATAAAATTTAAAAAGTTTTAAAGTACTACTCATAGTCAAATATTAGAGGAAATGCTTCTGTTTCAGATAATCTGGTCTTTTATTAGACTAAAGAAAAAAAAGTTGTCCTCACAAAAAGTTGGGGTTGTGTTTGTTTGCTTTTTGGCTTTACCAAATATATCCAATTAATCAATTATTATTTGGAATTCTGAGCTCCCATCAGTAAATTATGGATATCATTAAGAAAACATAAGGAACATACTAAGAAGAATAATTCAGATGAGTCCAGGTTTCTCTGTAGCATTTGGTGTATAATACTGTTTTCATTACTCATCAGCTGAGATGATTAGCTGTCTAACCTATAGTCCTAGAGTTCTTAGGGTTCTTAAAATGCACTTGGTATATGAGTGGTAGACTAAAATGAAATGAGCCGTCATATTACATAGTTGAATTCAAAATAGGTGCATTCTCACCTAATTATTTTTTAAGTTAATTGACTCATCCAGGATATTCAGAAAATAAAATAAACATTTTTGTTACTGAGGCACGATAAAGGGTTTATGATTTTTTTATTCTGTTCATGTCTTCCATTGAATTTAGCAATAGATAGGATTAAAATCCACCCTGCTTGGGCTTCTTTGTAGTTGCCAAAAGTAAAAGAACCCTACCTTCCAGTAGTATATTAAGTTATGAAATAGTCTGGGTCCTCACATTTGGAATTGTCCTTTGCTTGGTGGCATATCATCAGATTAAGAATACTGTTGAGTTTTTCTGATCCTCTGCTATATTACATATTTCATATTAGAAGCAAAGCTAAATGACTAGTGGAGTTGCTTCTTTCAAAAAAGGAAGGTTCCAAAAGGCCCATTTTGTTGTCTTTTATTTATAGAAAGTGCACAAACAGGGTGTTTATCTACAACCCCAAAAAAGGAGACTGGAAAGACATGGCTCCAATGAAAACCCCTCGTTCGATGTTTGGAGTGGCAATCCATAAAGGCAAAATTGTGGTTGCAGGCGGTGTCACTGAAGATGGGCTTTCAGCGTCAGTTGAAGTTTTTGACCTCACAACCAATAAGTGAGTTACTCTATCTTACTACACCATAGGAATCGTTATACTGTTTTCACTCGGGATAAAAATTCAGCTTTCTAATTAGGAAATGAGTGGAGAGCAGGAAGGTGAGGATTAAAGAGGAAACATCTTCATCTGGTTTATTTTGCTGTTACTGGGTGTAAAATGCCTAACATTTTGCTGCATTATATGTGGTTGGAACACATGACTCTCAAGTTAATGTTGGAGTGCTTAATTTGTATTTGTTATTAACTTTGTGAATTTAGTTGTGCAAAGGTAACACTTCTGAATAATTACCTGTACATAGGTGGATATACATGTGTCTATAGTTATTTGATTTGAAATAAGTAGTTTCTTTAAGGATGAAAAACCCTCCATCTTAGCTTGTGATATTTGTAAAGCATGAATGCTTCAGAAGTTTAATTCTTTTATGTTCTTTATAATATTCTTAAAACTTTCACTTTTGAGCTTTTATTGGCTTAAAGTTAATGTGAAAAAACATTTGACAAATATTTATATAAAATTAGTCTTTTTCAATATTTGGAGCTCACACATCTGGATAAGTATATAGTTTTTATACTCCTAATTTAGCAGTAAAGGAAAAATTAAAGCACTATTATTACTTTTTAAAGAAACCATGTATACTGCCTGATTACAAAGTAGACTTTAGTTCTGAAAATCACAAGGAAGTTCTATGGAATAAAACTTAAATGATCATTAAAAATCATGTTTTTGAAGAATATATAATATTGGTGAGCTCATGATACAGAAAGTTAAAGCAGCTTACAAAATTATAAATATGTTCTTAGTTTTGTTCATATGTATGGATGGATGTTTATATTTTAATTTATGGTTAAACTTTTATATTTAAAAATGACAAAATTACACTCAAGTGTTGCTTGTCATTATGTCTGGAGGGTATGATCATAGAAGATATTTGTTTTCTTCTATACTATTC